ATAAACATAAAATCAAACCATTCACATATATGCCTTTTGGTGTAGGACCACGAAACTGCATAGGTAACTGCAAGAGTCATAAATTTTTAATGTTTTGTTTAACCCAATACTTGATGTCTAAATACTTTTAGCATCCCGATTTGCATTGATGGAAGTGAAAATGATAATTTTCGAACTTCTACGTCATTTTGATATTGTGCCTTGTGAGAAAACACAAATACCTTTGAAAATCAAAAAGTCACATTTAACATGCATGTTGAAAAAGGATTTTGGGTCACCTTTAAGAAGAGAGTGATAAATGAACAGCATAAACAACAAATATGATACTTATAATTTAATTTATCTGTTAGTAAGATAGTTATTATAAGGGCAAATCGTATTTGCACAATGTAATTTGAATTGTACAAATATAAAACAATGAGTTATAAATCATTCTTTCAATTAGTTTTAATTAAGTATATATCAGTTTTTGGAGTCAATATATATTTCAGACAAAAATATCTTCTCATATTAAAAATGTGCAATTAATTGAAAACAAATCAAAATCTATTTGGCACTAATTGGCAGTAAATGATTAAAATAAAGAAGTACCATCAGATCGCAAAGGCAAATTATAAGTATTTTTAGTTGAACCCTAATTTTGTAGTGCTTTGAATAAATTATAAATAAATTTTGGAACTATGTGATACTAAGTGCAAAGATTGACTGGCACTAATTTATGAAAAATAATGAAATGAAAATTATTCCTAGATGGTGAACGAAAACCAATAGTATTTCAAAGTATCTACTTGTACCCAACATTTTATCCTAAATCCTATTGTTGCTCTAATTATCTTAAATGATAAATTTGTAATAAATCAATAAATTTGTTTTGATACATTTATAGCGTATGCTTTTGAAAGTAAATTATTTTATCTAGAATTTATTTCAAACGATTATTATTACATACAATATGTAACTCCATTTATTAATTGACTGATCATGATTCGTGTGATGTCAGTGCGAGTATTGTAGTTGTATATTCATGTTAGATCGTAGTTCTCTATAAATTAAGGTATTTTTCTAGTGATTAAATTAAAATGAATTAAATAAAAATATTTAGATCAGTGTATAACAAATTAAAAAAACTGAAATAAATAATTAAACTAATTAAAATTCGTTTCATGTGATTTGTGAATGACGCCTCTGAAAACAGTTTTGTTCATATATAAATATATAAATAAATAAATATATATATATATATATATGTGTGTTGTGTGTGAGTGTGTGTTATTATATATACAAATAATTTATTATTTATGATACAGCAAAACCTTCATCAAAAACAAGAACAATAAATTTTTGAAATACGTACAATTTGCCATTCCATTATCAGTATTAGATAAATTTATCTATAATAAAAATTTTAATTGCAAAAAATGTTGTGATGAATATTGAGTTGTGATAAATATGTAAAATTATTTCCACACTAATATTATTATAACAAAAGCTTGTTAACTCTTAAAGAAAAGGTTATATTTTTGCCAGAGATCCCACTTGCTAATTTTATGTGTTCACCACGTTTTAAGTCTTTCTGAATCGTTTGACACAAAACTTGAAAAAAGTGTGTGTATGTGAGCCAATATTTAATCTTTCGTCAACATTTTTCCAAAGAAGCTGCACTGATCTCGAAAATTAAAAGGTCAAATCGGTCAGATTTATCAATCATGCAACTTGCTTTAAGGCAAAATGCCACTTACAGCTATTTTATGACGTATACAACATTTGTTACCTGTGATAAACTGTAAATATATACTGTATATTAGTATATTCCGCAGTATTAAAATTAAATACAATAAACTAATATTATTATATTCAAATGTATTCTATTGGGCAAAATCTTATTATGGCATTATAATAATCTTTTTAATGGGAAAATTAATTATGATATTTTTTAGAATGGATTTTATAACCTGGATCCTGATAACAGTGTTGGCTTATGCCTTCTATTTATATGCTACATGGAACTACAATAGATTCAAAGACTCCAATGTGCCTCACCAGAAACCGCTCCCATTTTTTGGAAACTTAGCATCTTTTTTATTTCGATTGGACAATATGATTGAAAATGGTGAAAAAATTTATAACAAATTTCCCAACAATAGGTAAATTGATATAAAATAATTATTATGTCGTATAATAAAATATTTGGAATTTAAATTAGATTCTATGGTGTATTCCAATTTCGTATGCCGGGAGTAGTACTTAAGGATCCTGAATTAATCAGACAAACTGGAGTTAAGGATTTTGACAATTTCATGAACCATAGAGCTTTTATCTCTGAAGAAGTTGATCCAATATTCGGGAATATATTGTTTACCATGCAAGGTACTAGTTCAAATAGAATTATTTTTACTAATTATGATTTTTCACTTATAATTTTATATTTTCAGATCAGAAATGGCGTGATATGCGAGCAACCCTTAGTCCAGCTTTTACAGGGAGCAAGATGAGAAACATGTTTGTGTTGATATCTGAATGCACTCAACAAATGGCTGAGTTTATGAAAAATGAAATACAACAAAAAGGTTCGAATTATTAGCTATAAAAATAAATAATAGAATTATAACTATAAAAAGTAATTTATGATAACGTGGACAGAATGCACTTCTATATTTTCTAAATGCTTCGGTGAAAATAGAATGGAAGGCGTCAGTTGTTGAATATAGGCATTTCTCCAGAAGTGCAGTAAAAAACGTTGATTTTGTTAGAATGCCGTTGTTTTGCAAAAGTGAATATTTCGTATGGTTCTCATTTAGGCGTATGAACCCTAATTTTAAGTATGCATGCTTACTTTCTCTAATCTTTTTTCCGTTTAAATCAAATGACAAATGTGATCCAAATTTACTTTCTAGGTCCACAGTCATTGGAACTGAAAGATTTCTATGCACGTGCAACAACCGATGTCATTGCTTCAACTGCATTCGGACTCAAAGTTGATACTTTGAAGGATAAAGAAAATTTGTTTTACAAAATGGGCAACGAATTTCAATTCGGAGGTTTTATGATGGTATTGAAAACTTTTGCATTTCTAATGGCTCCAAAAATCATGAAGGTATATATATCTAAATAATTTTAAAATAATTTTGAACAAGAGCAAAGAATTGGTAGGTTCAAAAATTAACTTCGTGATCACAATCAATAAATTTTTTTGCAGTTTTTCAAAATAGGTCTCACAAGCGAATCAAGCGCAAACTTCTTTCGTTCTCTGGTTAGAGATACAATGGCTCTTAGAGATAAAGAAAATATTCATAGGCCAGATATGATACAATTATTAATGCAAGCCAAAAAGGAGCATTACACATCAATGATATCTCAAAAACTGAGGAAAACATTGATAATACAGCTGACGCAGGTTTTGCTACTGTAGCCGAATCGCATGCTACTAAAACGCACACTACAAAAAGAGGTGTGCTTATTCATATTGCAAATGAGTTTTAAATTAAATTAATTATTACTTATTTAATTTTCTAGTTTGGTCTCACGATGAGTTAACAGCTCAAGCTATGATATTCTTTTTGGCCGGATTTGAAACGACTTCAACAGTATTGTGCTTCTTGACCCATGAATTGGCTCTACATCCAGAAATCCAGAAGCGTCTTCAACAAGAAATTGATGAAGTTTGCATTTCCATTAATGATAAACCGAATTATGAAACTGTAGTTGGCATGAAATATTTGGATATGGTTGTATCTGGCAAGTAAAAACACTATCGGTTGCTTCTTTGCAAAGTTGTACTAATAAAAGAACTTTTTAAAAATTTTCAGAGAGTCTAAGATTATGGCCACCACTTGCCGTTACTGATAGAGTTTGCTTGAAGTCTTACGAACTCGAAGATTATAATGGAAATAAATTTGAAGTAATGAATTATTAAATTATGCTATAAATTTTTAGTACTTACAATATGTTTTATATATATTTTAAAGAAAAATAAAAATTATTTTATTAGGTAAAACGAGGAGAATCCATAATGTACCCCATATACTTTTTGCAACGTGATCAAAAATATTATGAAAATCCTAATAAATTTGATCCTGAAAGATTCAATGATGATAATAAACACAAAATCAAACCATTCACATATATGCCTTTTGGTGTAGGACCACGGAATTGCATAGGTATGGGTGTAAACATCAATTTTAATATATATATATAATGATCCATTACTTGATTTTAAATATTGTTATAGCATCCAGATTTGCATTAATGGAAGTGAAAATGATAATATTCGAACTTCTTCGGCATTTCGATATTGTGCCTTGTGAGAAGACACAAATACCAATAAAAATAAAAAAATCAACATTTAACATGCATGTTGAAAAAGGATTTTGGGTCACCTTTAAGTAAAGAGTGGAAAAATAGATTAATTATTTAATTTATCTATTAGAAAAAATATTTAATGGGGTCAAATTGTATTTGACCACATTAAGAATGCAATTTGAATTATACAAATATAAAATTAAATACTAGAATATTATAACATTAATTATAATTAATTAATTAGTTACAAGTACAACACATTATTTCAATTAGTTTTGATTTACTATATATCGTTTTGGTAGTCAATATATATTTGAGACAAAACTATTTTAAAAAGTGCAATAAATTAAGAAAATTCTCAAAATCTATTTAGCACCTATAAATAAAACTATTTGGCAGTTATATGTAGAAAATTATTAGAATGAAGAAGAACCTTCAGGGCATCAAATCATAAACAAAATCAAATCATCAATTCAAACAAATCAAATCATAAATAAAAGTTAAAGGTATTCCAAGGGTTCTGAACACAAAATTACAAATTAAGACCCTATTTTTGAAAATGAAAATCATTTCTAGATAGTAAACGAAACCGAATACCGTTTTGGCATCTCTTACAATCATATAAACGTGTAATAGTAAAAAATTATGATTTATCAAATAAATAAATAAAATATATATGATACATTTATATTATCAGCTTTTGAAGATGAATTACTTTATATACAACTTATTTCAAACGATTAGTATTACATCATAATGTGCAAGTCAGTTTATTGATTAATTGATCATAACTCGTGTAGTGTCAGTGCGAGTATAATAGTTGTCGTATATTCATGTTAGTTTGTAGTTCTGTAAAAAATAAGGTAATAAACGATAACAGTAAAATAAAAATTAATTAAATAAGAATTTACAGAAGTATAATAATTTAAATAAACTGAAATAAAAATATAAAACTAAATAAAATTCGTATCATGTGATTTGTAGTGATAACAAAAGTTTGTGTGTGATGTGAATAAATAAATGCT